CCTGCTCCTTGGTGAAGCCCACGCTGACCTCTGACACCGGCCGCTTCCCACCGTTCTCACACATGTCTGTGATGGAGGAAAAGAAGGCCTGCAGACGATATGACGATTAGTTAACCCCGTGTGTGTGTGTGTGTGTGTATGTGTGTGTGCGCGCGCATGTACAGTCAGGTCCATGAATATCGGGACATCTATACTAGGGATGCAAACAATTAATCGACTTACGATTAACTGTCGAATAATGGTTTATTACATTAAAATTTCTTCCATTCAATTAATCGAAAACATCCGTTTAAACCTTATTTCAGTGTAGTTTTGCCTTCATCCAGTAGATGGCACTGCTGCTTTATCAGCCTGGCCTTACTCTAAACACAGTCCTGTTGAGCTGCGCAGAGAGCCGGCCACCTCCATAATTAAACACGCAAATCTTGTTTAGTTTTATTTGCAACACAACAATAATAATGGACTACAACAAACTCGAAGGAAAAGAACCGAAGGCTGTACTGGACATCCAACAGTATGATGCTAAAGATGAGAGCAGGACAACAGCGAGCAAGGTAAGCTAACTTTAGCTAATGTTAGCTTCTTTTTGTAGAGTTTAACTCAGTGTGAAATAACAAAACAAAACAAAGCAAAAAAAAAGTTATTCACTACATATAATTAACGTGAAATTAATCTCATCTGTGTGACGTAACCCTGCCAGTGAGCAAATCAAATGAACAGTAACTGACGTCAAATCATGCAGCAGCATGAACCACAGGGAATGTAAACAAACACAGTTCCAGTACTCATTTGWATKTTCACCCCCCTCAGGTCATGTTCATAGTTTGTTTTTGAGTAAATCTTTAGATTAAAATGTTACCCTGTGTTTAAATGTTAGTTTTACATTTCTCTGTTCGGGGTGGATTAAATGTTTTACTTTTTTCTTTCCTTTTTTTCAATTAGCAACCTAATAGATTACTCTTTTGTTATATTTTGTAAATATGTCCAAGTTTAGTAATGTGTGAGAAATCCACAATTTTCTGTTTATTCAGACAGTGTTTAATACAGCTGGCACTATACATTTGATAAAATATAATACTGTACTTTTTTAATGTGGTGTGTAAAAAAATAGCCCTTCATGTCACAGAAAGACCCTTGAAGACAAATGTCAGGTTTTTAGGAAAATGGCCGCTTATCAATTAATCATTACTCGATCTATAAGATCAATCAACTTTAGATTAATCCATTAATCGATAACTTGCATCCCTAATCTATCAATTCTCATGTGGTGTAATAATACAACAATCCATATGGATAAAATGGTTCATGATTCAATTATAGAGAGGCAAAATAAACATATTGTTCTATATCTTCACCATAGGCTAGATGTGGATCAGTGTCATATGACAGTACATTATCAATCACAGATTTGTGAATTGAATTGAATAGAAATGGTATCACTAAAAACTTTGTGACATCGAGAAATATCAAATCATCATCCAAACAAATCGATTGTGATAAAGGTGGTGATTTACACCCCATGCTCATCTTTTTGGCTGTAAACTCCACAACAATGAATTTGAAATCAAATAAACCAGATGTGCTTTAAATGCAGACTTTCAGCTTTAGTTTGAAAGTATTTCAATCCAAATCAGTGAACAATGTATGAGTTAAAACAGTTTGTAGATGTGCCTCCCACTTTTTAAAGGATCAAATGTAATGGAGCATTTTAACAATTATAAATCTAATTTTCACTTCTTAATACTTTGTTGCAAATTGTTTGTAGATCTGCATTCGGTTCCTGCTCCTTCCTGTCTGCTGATCAATAGGAGAGGAGCTGACCCAAGAAGGACCGCCCACCTTATTTACATAAGGAGGCAGAAATGCAAATACAGGAGACAGAGAAATGTAAAGGTAAAAAAAAAAGTAAAGGAAAAGGTATGTTTTTTGTCATTCAATGTATGTTCCCATTCAATGATGAAATTTGTGCTCTGCATTTAACCCGTCCCATGTGAGAAACACCCAAGTGGAGCAGCGGGCAGTCATGTGAGGCGATTTGACTCTGAACGATCTCTTTGACTCTGAACGACGTCTTTGACTCTGAACGAGGCAAAGAGATCGTTCAGAGTCAAAGAGATCATTCAGATTCGAAGAGCTTTTTCAGGCAACATGTGGAAATTAAAAAAATTGTGGGAAAAAGCAATAAAAATAATTAAATATAATTTAATTATTTGAGACGCTGAGGGGACGCTGAGACGCTGACAGTGAAAGACTGCTCCGCTAACAAGCACCTCAAAACTTTAGTTTTCAAAACCGTCTCCTCCGTACACCTGCTCGTGTTTTCAGGAGACAGGGTGAGGTTAGACGTGGGGTATCGTATTAATTCATTTTCTGCTTTGCTGCTGGTGCTTGGCAATTTGTTTGTTTGTTTGGGAATTTCTTTAACTCACTGGGTTATCTTACTTTGCACAGTTCTACTTCCAGTCCTAAATCACTCAATATAGTTTCTTCTTATTGGGACTATGCTTAAAACATATTTTATTTCTCAACACTTCTTGGTTTATATTTGTGTTTTTCGAGATCTTGTAGCCCTCGCTGACATTTGCTTAGCATCATGGCTACTTCTTCTCCGAGCTCGGTTTTCCTCACTTGCTCCATCTGTGAGATGTTTAGTCACTCCCCTGCCTCTTTTAGCGGTGGCAACATTTGTATTAAATGTGGACTTATGGCAGATTTAGAGGCGAGGCTGTCTTTATTAGAAGCTCGGCTTTGCGCTGTTGAGAAGCCAACAGCTAGTCAGGCTAGCATGGAGGAGCCGCCGAGAGATGCCTCTCCTGTTAGCGGYCCCTTGGTGAATCCCGTGAGGCCACCACCCCGAGCTAGCTGGGTGAAGGCCCAGAAAAAGCACAGTGCTAAAGCTAAACCTCCCGACCATCAACCCGTTCATGTTTCAAATCGCTTCTCCCCACTCAGCGACACTCCGGTCGAGAAACAAACCCTGGTTATTGGCAGCTCCATAGTCCGAAACGTGGATTTAGGGACTCCAACGGTCATGATTAAATGCATTCCAGGAGCCAGAGCGGGTGACATTGAATCCTACCTGAAGCTACTAGCTAATGCTAATGCTAGGTACAGTACGGTCGTGATTCACATCGGTGGTAATGATACTCGGTTACGTCAATCGGAGGTTACTGAAATTAACGTTGCTTCRGTCTGTAACTTCGCAAAGTCGATGTCGGACTCTGTAGTTTTCAATGGCCCCCTACCTAACCTGACCAGTGATGACGTTTAGTCGCATGTCTTCATTTAACCGCTGGGCATCTAAGTGGTGTTCTGAAAACAACGTTGGCTACGTGGATAACTGGAGTTCTTTCTGGGGGAAACCTGGTCTGATGGCATCCACCCCACCCTGACTGGAGCTGCTCTCCTCTCTAAGAATTTAGCTAACTTTGTTGACCACAGAACTTATTGACAATCCAGGGTTCAGACTAGGAAACAGAGTTGTAGTCTTACACACATCTCTCTGCTGCTTCTCCTTTATTACCCACCCAAACCCCCATTAACATTGTTTTAGCCCCACAGACCAAATTAAATAAATATTAAAATTCTAGAAAAATAAATCATAAAAATCTTATAAAAATAAACACGGTTACTTTACCAGAACAAAACAAAAAAAACTATTAGGTGTGGTTTATTAAATATTAGATCTCTTTCTTCTAAGTCTCTGTTAGTTAACGATCTGATAACTGATCATCATATTGATTTATTCTGTCTTACTGAAACCTGGTTACAACAGGAGGATTTTGTTAGTATAAATGAATCCACTCCTGCTAATTATTTAAATTGTCATGTTCCTAGAACAACAGGTKGTGGTGGAGGAGTAGCTGCAGTTTATAAGTCAGAACTATAAATTAATGCTAAATCTAATATTAGACATAATTCATTTGAGTCTTTGTCCCTCAGTCTTTCTCATCCAAAATGGAAATCAGAAGGCCCTTATTCTCAGTTTTTATCAGAGTTCTCAGATTTTCTGACTGATTTATTATTAAATACTGATAAAATTATAATATTGGGAGATTTTAACATTCTTGTTGATAGTGAAAGTGATGGCTTAAATATAGCTTTTAGTAATTTAATTGAGTCAATTGGTTTTACTCAAAATGTCCACAGACCTACTCACTCTCTTCATCACACTCTAGATCTGGTTCTGACGTATGGTGTAGAGAGTAAGAACTTAATGATATATCCTCACAATCCTGTTCTCTCTGAYCATTTTTTAATAACCTTTGAGTTGACATTAGCTAACTATATAGCTACTGAGAGTAAATTTCATTATAGTAATGTTTATCAGAGAATGCTGTAGCTAAATTTAAAGAATCTCTTCCATCTTTATTTTCCTCTGTCTTACAGAAAAATGTAACAGAGAACAGTAACTTAGATGGACTTGTTGATAATATTACAACTTTAATCCAAACCTCTCTTGATGGAATTGCTCCACTAAAAAAGAAAGCTATCGATCAGAGGAAGCCGACTCCTTGGTTTAATTCAGAGTTACGTTCTTTAAAACAGGCATCTAGAAAACTAGAGAGAAAATGGTGCTCCACTAACATAGAAGAATCTTATTTAACCTGGAGAGACAGCCTGCTAACATATAAGAAAGCCCTTCGTAAAGCTAGAACTGTATATTATTCATCTTTAATAGAAGAGAATAAAAACAATCCCAGGTTTCTGTTCAGTACTATAGCTAGACTAATGAAAAGTCCTATCTCTGTTGAGATGTATCCCTATAACTTTAAGTAGTGATGACTTCATTAGATTCTTTACAGATAAATTTATTTTAATAAGGGATAAAATTCATGCCAACCTTCCTGCTACCGTCTCTGATTCTCTGTCAGATGAGGCAGCTTTAGTGTCACTAGAACCTGATTTATGTTTGGACAGTTTTTGTCCTGTTGAGCTCTCTGAATTATCTAAAATAATAGCTTCATCCAAACAAACAACATGTCTGCTAGATCCCATCCCAACCAGACTGTTTACAGAAGCATTTCCCTTAATTAATATCCATATTTTAGATGTACTTAATTTATCTCTAATAAATGGTTATGTGCCACAGAGCTTTAAGGTTGCTGTAATTAAACCTTTACTTAAGAAACCTGATCTTGATTCTGGAGTTCTGGCCAACTATGGACCTATATCTAATCTCCCATTCATCTCAAAAATTCTTGAGAAAATAGTTGCAAATCAACTATGTGAACATCTGGATAGAAATAATCTATATGAGGAGTTTCAGTCAGRGTTYAGAGCTCATCATAGCACAGAAACAGCACTGGTGAAAGTTACTAATGATATTCTCATGGCCTCAGATGGTGGACTTGTGTCCATTCTTGTCCTGTTAGATCTCAGTGCTGCACTTGATACAACTGATCACAATTATTACAGAGACTTGAATTCGATAGTGGGATTATAGGAACGGCTCTGAAATGGTTTGTCTTATTTAATTGACAGATTCCAGTTTATAAATATTAATGAATCTGCTTACACCAGAGCTAGTCATGGAGTTCCTCAGGGTTCAGTGCTTGGACCAATCCTCTTTACTTTATATATGCTTCCTTTAGGTAAAGTTATTAAACAGCATGGGATAAATTTCCATTGATACGCTGATGATACTCAATGAATGATGAATCCAACCAGTTACTTAAACTACAAGCATGTCTTACAGACAAAAAAACATGGATGACTCTTAACTTTCTGCTTCTAAACTCAGATAAGACAGAGGTTATGGTTTTTGGACCTGAACATCTTAGGGATCAACTTTGCAGCCTTTCGCCTCCTCTGGATGGCATTAATCTGGCCTCCAGTTCTGATGTAAAGAACTTTGGTGTTATTTTTAATCAGGACATGTCTTTTAACCCCCACATTAAAAAAGTTACCAGGACCGCCTTCTTCCACCTGCGTAATATCACTAAAATTAGAAATATTTTGTCTAAAAATGATGCAGTAATACTGATTCATGCATTTATCACGTCTAGACTGGCTTACTGTAATTCTTTATTATCTGGACATCCAAAAAACTCTCTAAGAAGTCTTCAGTTAATCTAAAATGCTTCTGCTAGAGTTTTAATGAGAGTTGGAAGGAGAGATCATATTTCTCCAGTTTCAGCTTCTCTCCACTGGCTCCCTGTCAAATTCAGAATAGAATTTAAAATATT